GGTACCGTACAGCAGGTGGTGGTTACGGCTGTCAGATACCAAAGCCTTCAGATAACCCGTTAGTCAATCCTTGGATCTGTCCTCAGCAAAAAGTCTCTGTTTAGTTTCCACTACAGTAGTTGTCTTGGTCAACCTAAGCTGCAAATACATATTCTGGGGATGGGGAGTTAATTTCCAGCATTGCTGTTGATTAGTTTCTTAGAGGTTTGATGTTCCCGTGCTGTGCTTTGGAAGCAGCAGATGTTAGCAGCTGAAAGGCAGTTTGGTGTCTCTGAGGTCTTCAGGAATAGGGCAGGAAGAAGTTAGGGGGCACCAGGTGCCACATGCCCACAGACACACTCTTGGTTTGTGTCCATGTGTGTGAACTCTTTTGTTGCATTTGTTTTCTCCTGGAACTTGAGGTGCAAACTGACAGCCCCACAGCCAGATCACGGTCTGTCCCGTCCCCCGCCCACCCGGCAGTGCGTCCCCGGCGCCGGTCCCTGCCCGCCCCAGCTCTACACAAAGCAGCATGCACAGTCAGTCTCTCCCTCTCGCGCGCTCGGTGGCCTTCTCCTCCTTTAGGCTTTCTTACACTTCCCCTTCTTCTCCCGCTGCTGGAACTTCCTGAGCCGCCGAGCCCACGTATCCCTCCACTGGATCACCAGGCTGGTTTTGTCCGCAATGATGCCGCTCTGGTCAGGAGAGTCCTCGTTGTTGCCCAGCAGCAAATACTTCTTCATGGGCTTGATTTTGGGGCACTTGCACGCTATGTCCTTGGAGTGGATCCACAGGGTCTGGTCTCCGCGCCGTATCCGGTTGCTCCCTTGTTTGTAGACAGAGATGATGTTGACTGTGAACTTCCACCAGTCAGCATTTTTTTCTGCTTTCAGGATGTGGATCTGGACAGCTGAAAAAAAACAAACCACACACGAGGCAAGAGAGGAAAAGATGTTACCGTTTGAGCTGGCAAATGAACATGCATGTCAGGACTTACCTAATGGGCTGTGTGAGGAAGAGGGATTTTGTTCCCTGAGCCCAGGCTGGGGGACAACAGCCAAGAGCAGCAAGTGCCCCAAAACTACCTCTGCCCCCAGGCCACCCACCGTGAGCAAGAGCAGCCAGCGCTCGTGTCTGAGGTTCTCAGCAAAGGTTCTAAGACCACCATAGACTTGGGAGATGCTGTTCAGTTCTGCTGCCACACATAGCCCTCTGGGTCCCCAGTGAGCATGGACATGGTTACCCAAGGACCAAGGGGGCTGCAAGACCCCCCCCCAGGAGGGAAGGGAAGGCTAGGAGCAGTGGTACACCAGGAACCATGGCATTCCTTGTGCTGGGAGCCCTGAGAATGACACAGGTTATCCAGAGCAGCGGTGGAGAGCAGGTTGTCTCATCCTCCCCTCTGTGTCCTAGGGAGGACCAGCATCTCCCAGGATGTGGTTGTGAAGCAGACACAGATGGAAAAGTTCTCAGG